ATATGCTAATTTTTATTCATAATTCCTTTTTTCTCCTCATCCTGATATTACTTATAAAACAAAGATTGTGATTTTGATTTAATTGGTAAAATTGATAAAAATTCGTATTTTTAATAAATCATATATAATATATAAATTTTTATTCTTAAAATAAATAGAAAACTTTTAAATGTCATTTTTTTTTTAATTATATTTTTTTATAAAATTAAAGTTTTCTAATAGCAAAAATTTTTTGAATTCTGTATCAGGATATAATTGAAAAAAGAACAAATTTTTTTTCAGATTTGAAATATCATAGTATAGATATATGTATAAATAAAATTTCGTGAAATATGTAAATAAAATGTTTTATCCAATTTTATGATTTTATGATTTTATCCTATTTATCTATATTATCTGTATTCTGTATATTCTATTTTATCCTATTTTATCCTATTATATAATAATATCAAGAATAAATATAGACAAAGAGAATAAATTGTGAAAGAAAGACAGAGATAAGATAAAAATTTGGGAATCAGCGCCATCTCTAGATTGCCGCAAATGAAACTCAAATATAGACAAGAAAAACAAATAAAAAGAAGTTAGAAATAGAATAAGAATTGATCATTAGCGTCATCTCTTGTATATTTTTGAAAAGATAATTTTTTGAATTAAAAAAAATATATATATATAAATATATATAAATGTATATAAATATTTTGAATTAAAAAAGATATTTTTGATATTTAAAAATCTAATATTTTTATTTTTTTTTATTACTTGGTTTTTTATTTATATTGTTTTATTTGCTGCATTCTAGAAATGGCACTATTCCCAAATTTTTATCATATCTCTATCTATTTTTTATTACTTGCTCTACTTGTCTATTTGTATTTCACTTGCGGCACTTTAGAAATGACATTAATTCTTGAATTTTTATTCATCTTTATCTTCCTCCACTATTTATTTTTCTTGACTATATTTGCTCTGTAAAATTTATGCATTCAAAAGAAAATGCTGATATCTGATTAATTTTATTTTCTAAAATAAAAATACAAAAATATATATAAAATATATTACGATATATAAATATATAAATATATATATATATATATATATANGATTTGAAATTCGATTCCATGTATTTATATATATTTTATATTTATATTTATTTAGATATATGTGAAATAAGGATTTTTCTTATAAAGTATTATGATTTGATTTGCAACAATTTATAATTTTATGTAATAATGATTTATTAGTTTAATTGCAATTACTACAATTGATAACAAAACGTTGATTTTTTTTAAACATGTTTTGTATAATATATCCGATTATGTACACCTTGGAAGCATTACATAATAAGCCGATATATATGATCGGTTTTTTTTTGATAAATATAAATAATGTACAAGAGCAATTTGATGTAACATTTTATGTGTAAATATGCGTATAATATATAATGCATTACTATAATACATGTTATACGCGTATTTATACATTTGCATATAACACACGCATGCACTAAAACGCACACATACATTGACATTCGCGCAATGTAAAACTGTAGTATTAAATTATTTAACATAACATATCTTTATATTCATTGCAAGATCAAACATTAAGGAACATTGCTAAGATTTTTAAAAAATTAGATCAAATATATTTACTATATTATTTACAATTTAAAATATATAGAATAAAAATATATAAATAAAAGAGAAAAGCTAAAAATTACATTATAATTAATATAACAGATATAAAATATTTATTTTTTATTTTAAAATTTTTTTTACTTTTTGTTAAGTATATAACTTTATGCAATGTTCCTTTCTAGTTAGAGCTACAAAATGTATTTTATTGATTATAAACTATTTTTAATGTTAATTTTATATTTCCTTTTCATAAATAGTGCAAAGATAGATGTTATGCTGTTTCTCTTAGGCACATGATCCAAGATGATTGATACCGTTATTTTAGCAGAAAACAAAATCATGTATTCTTATTTTTTTTTTTACATAATAAATATATAAATTTAAATATATATTTTTTTTAATATCTTGAGCATAAAAAAATTATTTATGTATTGTATTATAAAGTATTTATATTATTTTTTTCTTAAAAGAAAAAATATTTAAAAGCTGATTTTTCAAAGGCTTTAATTTAGAATACAGTAAGATATATTTCTTCTGTTTAAATTTGAAACTAAAAATTCTATTTTTAATCTATTTTTCCTTATTTTCATATTTCAGACATTATTTTAAAAAGTTAAAAAAAAAATAATAGTTCCTGGTTTTCATATCCAGTTGTAATTTATATATAAAAGCTTCTTAAATAATTTATATAAATATATTTTTTAAATAAAATTATTTAAAGTATCTAAATATATATATTATATTTCAAAGAACTGCTCTTAACAGGTACATTCTTACTTTAAGAATATTGTGCATATTAGAGGCATATTAAAAAGAGAAATATAAAATTTACAGAATTATTTTAGAGCCTGTTTGTCTTCTTTTGCTACATATAAATAGCATTTTCAGATTAATACATATATATATATATATATATATATATATATATATATAT